TGAATTCTCGTTTTCATTTAATCTTATTTAGGGTAATTACTAAATAAAAATTAATTTCAAGCAAATTATTATTCTGTTCTACATATGATAATTTTGTGTGGTACACCATATGTATAAAACATCCGCACTAATCAGAGTATGGCTCCAAAAACTAAAATAAGAAACTTGATGTTGTAAAATGAAGAAGATGCAGAACAGATTAAAGAGATAGATATTAATAACCTCTAAATAACTTCTTCTTAATTTCTGAAATTTCTGAGTTAATTTACAAGGCTTCACCAAGCTCCTATTTAGGATGTTTTTACTTGGACTGTAATTTGTCCCAGACCAGACCAAACCAGACCAGTTCAGACCAGACCAGACCAGACTTGGATAGTTATAAAAATACAAAGAAACCAGACATTACCAGACCAGACCAGTCCAGACCAGACCAGACCAGATCAGACCAGACCAGCAAATTACAGTCCAAGTAAAAACATCCTTATAGTGGTTGGGCTTGATGATTAGTCATTTAAAGGATGACTCTACAGATATGGTGGCAATAACAAATTGAGCCATCTGTTCTAACTAGGTTACAAGGATTGATGCTAGATTAGTTTCCTGATTACAAGGATTGAAATTTGATGACTAGGCTAATTACAAGGATGAATAGTTCACACATGTAATTCCCATGATTTTACAACATTCCCCCTTGAATGTTCATCCTTGAATAGTTATTTTGTTATTATGAAAAATTAGTGTGAACGTTAAGGGGTAAAAATTACGACATATAATGTCATTGTATTTGGATGTACTGTCTCGTTAAAAACCTTATCAGGAAAAACTCAGTGGGATAAAAACCTGATGAAGGGAAAAAGAGTGCAGTGCATTCAAATACTCCCCTTGAAATTAACATAAATTTTGAAGGCGGTGCATGCCGATTTTCTGTACAAGTTCAATGAACTTCTTCGGAGGTAAAAATTTGGTGAAAAGATCGGCTGGATTTTCACTTGATCTAATTTGCTGAACGTTGATCGTCCCTTGTTTCTCAAGGTCGTGAATAGAGAAAAATTTTGGAGATATATGCTTCGTTCTATCTCCTTTGATGTGGCCTTCTTTAATTTGAGCTATGCATGTAGTGTTGTCTTCGTAGATTACAGTAGGGTAAACAGTAATAGGCTTCATACTGCATTCATTTTGGATGCGTTGAATCATAGATCACAGTCATACACATTCTCTTCCGGTTTCATATAGTGCAATTAACTCCGAATGATTTGATGATGTAGCTGTCAACGTCTGTTTCATAGATCTCCACGAGATTGCGGTATTACCATAAGTAAATACGTACCCGGTTTGTGATTTTGCCTTTTGAGGACCTGATAAGTATCCAGCGTCTGCATATCCGATTAAAGAAGCTTTTGCATCTTTGTGGTAGAATAGGCCGAGATCAACTGTACCACGGAGATAACGGAATATGTGTTTGATCCCGTTCCAATGACGTCTTGTTGGACATGAGTTGTACCTAGCTAATAAATTTACAGAAAATGCAATATTTGGTCTAGTATTATTAGCTAAATACATTAAAGCTCCGATACGGTACTTCGGGACCGAGTATATCTTCGTCGTCTTCTCGTGGACGGAATGAATCATCGTGTATGTTGAGAGATCGAATGACCATTGGTGAGGTCAACGGATGAGCTTTGTCCATATAGAATCTCTTCAAAACTTTCTCGGTGTAATTGGATTGTTGGATGAAAATTTCATTCTTCAAATGCTCAATTTGAAGTCTGAGACAAAATTTGATTCTCCCGAGATCTTTCATTTCAAATTCTTTCATAAGATAATTTGCAGTATTTTCAATTTCATCGGGAGTTCCAATAATGTTTAGGTCATCAACATATACTGCAATTATGGCGAATCCCGAATTTGATCGCCGAATGAAAACACATGGACTAATCGGGTCATTTTTGTATCCTTCTTTAAGAAGATATTCACTGAGACGATTATACCACATTCGTCAAGATTGTTTTAGTCCGTACAATGACTTTTGTAGTTTAATGGAAAACATGTCTCGAGGTTTTGAGCTATAAGTTTCAAGCATTTTAAATCCTTCGGGAACTTTCATATAAATGTCTGTATCGAGTGAACCGTATAAATATGCAGTCACAACATCCATTAGGTGCATTTGCAGCCTTTCAAAAACAGGACATATATGCCAATGAGAAACCTTAATGTATTGCATCAACTACTGAAGAATAGGTTTCTTCATAATCAATTCCCGGCATTTGAGAAAAACTTTGGGCAACAAGTCGGGCTTTGTATCTAACAATTTCATTTTATTCATTGCGTTTACGCACAAATACCCATTTAAAACCCACAAGTTTTACGCCTTTTGGCGTAGGGACTATCGGTCCAAAAACATCAAGTTTTTCAAGTGATTTTAATTCAGCCTGAATAGCTTCATTCCATTTTGGCCAATCGTGTCGTTTCCGACATTCTTCAATTGATGTTGGCTCATTGTCATTGTTTTCATTCATTACATTCGTGGCAACGACATAGATGAATATCTCATTAATATCAATATCTTTTCGATTCCATTGCATTCCAGTAGAAACATAGTTTATTGAAGTTTCGTAATTATCAACGTTTCTATCATTATCTGGAATATCTTCCTCATTTAAGGAAGTTGGATTGTCATTTGAGATGTTTGTTTTGTCAATATCATTTTCTATGTCAGTATTTTCAAACTGTTCATTTTCTTGTTCAGAAGGATGAACATCTTTGGCATCACAGATCAATTTCTGCTTTTTAGTTTTCCTTGGTTTTATATCTTTTGATCCAAGTGGCCTACCACGCTTTTTGCGTATAGAAGAATCATTTGCAAGAGATTTTTCATAATTCTCTGCTGGGATTTTGATTCTGGCAGGAGCATTCATTGCAGGAATATGTGACTTTGTCACTTTCTTTGTATCTGTGAATGCATCAGACAACTGATTTGCAACATTCTGTAAATGGATTATCTTTTGCACCTCTTGCTCACATATATTTGATCTAGAATCAAGGTGTGATAATCTTGTTGCATTCCATGCTATTTCTTTCGTACTTGGGTCTGATTTATTAGTTTCTCCCCCTAAGGTTGGGAATACTGTCTCATTGAAATGACAGTCAGTGAACCATGCGGTGAATAAGTCACCAGTCATCGGTTCAAGATATTTTATTATTGAGGGAGATTCAAATCCAACATAAATTCTCAACCTTCTTTGAGGACCCATTTTTGTACGATGAGGTGGAGCAATCGGAACATAAACAGCACCACCAAATAACATTATGTGTGCTAAGTTTGGCTCTTGTCCAGTAACTAATTGCATTGGGGAATATTCATGATACGCAGTCGGTCCAAGCCGAATTAAATTTGATGCATGCAAAATAGCATGTCCCCAAGCTGATGAAGGTAAATTACACTTCATTAATAATGGTCTAGCGATTAATTATAATCGTTTAATCAAAGATTCAGCAAGACCATTTTGTGTATGGACATGAGCAACATGGTGCTCCACATCAATCCCAATCAACATACAATAATCGTTAAATGATTGGAATGTAAATTCTCCTGCATTATCAAGTCGGATTCTCTTTATAGAATGATCCGGAAAATGAGCTCTTAATCGTATAATTTGAGCAAGGAGTTTAGCAAATGCAAAATTTTTAGTCGATAAAAGACTAACATGTGACCAACATGTTGAAGCATCAATCAACACCATAAAATATCGAAATGGTCCACATGGTGGGGCTATCGGCCCACAAATATCTCCTTGAATCCTTTCTAAAAATGCAGGTGATTCAGTTGCAATTTTATTCATAGAAGGCATGATGATCATTTTGCCAAGAGAACAAGTCTTACAAGGAAAATCACTTGATAATGGAACCCTGATATTCTTTAATGGGTGTCCAAGTGAAGTTTTAATGATTTTATGCATCATTACTTGGCCTGGGTGACCTAAACGGTCATGCCACAACATGAATGTTTTCTGATCATCTAACTTTGCGTTAGAAACCAAATTTATTTTGAATGGACTAATATAAGTGAAATATAGTCCTGAGGAATAAGCTGTCATTTTTTCACGAATATATTTAGTGCCAGATTTAGTTGTCGTAAGACAAATATATTCCTTTTGGTTTTCATTCATGGTTTCTATGTGACAACCATTTTGACGCATATCTTTAAAACTCAATAAATTTCTCCGCGATTTGCTGGAGCATAAAGCATCATTTATAATTATTTGTGTCCCGTTAGGGAGCATCACATATGCTTTCCCAGAGCCTTCAATGAGTTTCGCAACACCTGATATGGTATTGACTTTAGCTTCAACTAAAGTCATTTGAGAAAAATATATTTTATTTCTCAAAATGGTGTGCGTTGTGGTGCTGTCTTTCAGACATAGTTTTTTATCACTTGAGTGATCCATATCTACTGGAAGAAGATTTCTTGGAGAGTTTTGAGCAGAATCGTGCTGATAACGTGTTGTAAAATGAAGAAGATGTAGAACCGATTAAAGAGATAGATATTAATAACCTCTAAATAATTTTTTCTTAATCTCTGAAATTTCTGAGTTAATTTACAAGGCTTCACCAAGCTCCTATTTATAGTGGTTGAGCTTGGTGATTAGTCATCTAAAGGATGACTCTTCAGATTTGGTAGCAATAACAAATTGAGCCATTTGTTCTAACTAGGTTACAAAGATTGATGCTGGATTAGGCTAATTAAATAATTCAGATATGTAATTCCCATGAATATAAACACTTGCACTTTTTTGGGACGTGAGAACTTTTTTTGTACAAGGAAAGTGGGGAGAACGGGAAAAATGGTGCAAGAGTTTGACAATCGCACGCGCCATTCGTACCCAAAATGTGAAAGCGAAAAGAATGGGATTCCACGTCAGGAAAGTCAAAGTTTCTTCACGCGTGACGTACGAAGATGACCAGCTTTACCCCCTTCCGCGATCCCACGGCTCTCTTTCTCTGGAAAACCATACCCCGAGTAAGAAGGCAGTAAAAAACAACAAAGAGCCAATAATAAAAGAAGCTCATCATCTTTTACCAAAAAGAAGAAGCTCATCATCATCATCTTGGTCTCTTTAGCCCTCCGCGCTACGCCACCGACAGAGAGACAGACACGGCCCCGGAACTCGCGGCAGCTTCCTCGGATTTCACTCACGGATTCGGAGGAAGTTGTTGTTTGAAATGTCTGTGGACTCGAGCGCCGTTGTAGCTGATCATGGTCCTCGTACAAACTTCAGAGGAGTGCCCACTCATGGCGGCCGATATGTGCAGTACAATATCTATGGAAACCTTTTCGAAGTCTCAAGAAAGTATGTGCCCACCAGGCCGGTGGGACGTGGCGCAAATGGCATCGTCTGGTGAGAAGAGTAGGAAGAAACCTGGGTTCTGTTTCTTTTTCTTTTAATTAAAAAGATGAAGTCTTTTTCCAAATCTTTTCTGCATTTGTATGGCTATCTTAGCTTGGACTTTTTTTCTTCTCTGTGTTGTTTCATGGAGTTAAAAATTCTATTTTATATGGTGTTATAAAAATTGGATTTTGTTTACAGTGGTTCACTGCCTTTTTGCATACATTTCGTCAATGGATTGTTTTGGTGGATGAAATTGAGTTGCCTTCAACTATTAAATTGCAGAGAATTGAATGAAACTGTGACATTTAACCCAAAATAAGATGAAATAAAAGATGTTTGTGAATTGTGATGAAAAGAATTTCACCCCACAACCCGAATTGAGTGTTTATCCAAACAAGGTCTAATGAGATATGATATGAGTTTTCGTTTTTATGCAGTGCGGCAATGAACTCTGAGACAAATGAGGAGGTTGCTATAAAGAAGATTGGGAATGCGTTTGACAATAGGATAGATGCCAAAAGGACACTCCGGGAGATAAAGCTTCTCAGCCACATGGATCATGATAATGTATGTGTCTCTCCAAAGCTTTCAACTTTGATTTTCTATGGTGTGATCGCATTTGTGCATTCCACCAGTGTACTTGATGTGATATTTTCTTGTTCTTCATCTTTAGGTGATTGTTATTAAAGACATCATAAGGCCTCCTCAGAAGGAAAACTTCAATGATGTCTACATTGTTTATGAACTGATGGATACTGATCTTAACCAGATTATTCGCTCCAACCAGCCTTTGGCTGATGATCACTGTCGGGTATGACCCGACTTTTATGTAACTATTCTTTTTTCCCTCTAAAGTGAGATATATCTAGGAGTAGCAAATATGGGTTGCTTAAATGATCTATTGTAGAGGGGTTTCCCACTCTTAGTCGTGTGTCTATAAGTCTATTGACACAGTGTCCCACTCGGAACCTGTTTTTTAACTTTTCACGTTTAGTCCTCTGAATATAATGACCAAGATATTTTTGTCGCTCAAAGGCATCCCCGAAAGGGTCCTGAGAAGGGTCCCACTACAAGGGGGTATAAGGGGCAAACTTTCCCTTGTTAAACTTTTGACACGAGACCACTCTCAAGACTTGAACCTGTGACCTCTCGATCACACAACACCTTAACAGGTGCATCAAGGCTCTCCTTCTTTGTCTCTTAACTAAAAATAGAAAATTTTAAAAGACGATTACCAAAAGTGTCTACGTCAAACAAGTCATTAATACAAGTGAAGAAATAAAAAACAGATGTCAAAAGGACTAAAAGTGGGAAATGCTCTATGAAGAACAATCTTGTTCAATTTCATACTTTAGATTCTAGGAGTAGTTTTATTAGAGATTTTTCTTCTCAACTTTCTTCAGTATACTCATATACATGGTTCTACAACCATTGGGCTTGTGCTCCAAATTGTCACTAACTTATAAACTTAATGTCCAGTTTACAAATTGTGAACTGTGCGAATTGGCCTTTCCCTGGCCCAATGGAATTTATTTTTCTCTAGCATGATTCTTTTTGGCATCTACATTATTGACTTCTCCTTTGTTGTTGTTTCAGTACTTCCTTTATCAAATATTGCGCGGGCTTAGGTATATTCATTCTGCAAATGTGTTGCACCGGGATCTAAAACCTAGCAATTTGTTTCTGAATGCTAATTGTGACCTGAAGCTTGGGGATTTTGGTCTTGCTAGAACGACATCTGAGACAGACTTCATGACTGAATATGTTGTAACTCGATGGTATCGTGCACCAGAACTGCTCTTGAACTGCTCAGAGTACACGGCCGCCATTGATATTTGGTCAGTAGGTTGCATCCTTGGTGAAATCTTGACAAGACAGCCCCTTTTCCCTGGAAAAGATTATGTTCATCAGTTAAAACTTATCACAGAGGTATGACATAAAAAAAATCTTCCATTTGTATTGTTACGACTCAGGGTTAAATCTTGAATATTATTTTGCCGAAATGACGTAATGTGCCAGGCAAAATAGACGAATCTTGAAATCCGTCTTTTTGTGTCATAATTTAGATTTAATTGGTACATATATATATATGAAATCCGTCTTTATACATACCACGTATTATAGATGATGTTTACATGATTATACATATGTATAGCTTGTTCTTGTGTTAGTTACACTTTTCCTCTTATTCTGTTTCAAATAGCTGATTGGATCTCCGGATGATGCCAGCCTTGGATTTCTCCGTAGTGATAATGCCCGCCGATATGTTAGACAACTTCCACAGTATTCAAGGCATCAATTTTCTACAAGGTTCCCTGATTCCTCTCCCGGAGCAGTTGATTTGCTTGATAAAATGCTTGTCTTTGATCCTAGTCGTCGTATTACAGGTGTGTTATGCAGCTTGTAGCATACTTCATTTCTGTTTTAATCGTAACATTGATTTTTCACTTTCACCAACCATTAATACATTTAATTTTCAATGAGAACAAGTCATAAAAACAGTTTTTTTAAATATGAGTTAAGACAGTTTAACAACATTGTGGAATTTAGTCGATGTACTTGATGCATGTTAGGGTATAATATTATGGAAAGATAAATGCAAAATCAAGTAGAAGAATGAGGATTAATTGCTGATTGATTTGGTTGGTTGGTTTTATTCTAATTTGATTTTATTACCTTTATTAGTTAATCTATTTTAGGAAATGATTTGCTAAGATTTCCCTTTCCTTTCTTTAGGCCTTTTCATCAGTGGCGGATTTATGTTTCAAGTTTTGGGTGTTCATTTTTTTGTAGAATTAAAATTTGAAAGGACAAAAAATAATTAAATTAAATTTATACATATATACTAGTATGTTTTTCAAAATATTAGGTGTTCAATTGAACACTTTTGCATCATAGTGGCTCCGCCACTGCTTTTCATGCATGTACCCCCTATGATAAAAGGGAGTTTTGTTATGCTATAAGATATCCAAGAAAAAATCAAGTATAAGGAAAACTCTCCAAATTTCCATACCTCCTCGCAGTTTTTTTTTTTTTTGATTTTTCCAGTTACACAAAGAATCCCATACATAACATTTTGGTTCCGTTATTGGAAATTTCACTTTCCAATGATCAGTGCACTCTCTTTTCAAAGATGCAGAAGAAGTTGTGCAAGTTGACAAGTGAAGGGCACTATCATAAGCTACAAAATGCAGTGCAGAATATGCTCCTAGCACTGCAGCCATTGAAGGAGTCAATTGAGACAACCTTGGCACCAATCTAAATCCCTAACTTCTCGTTAGGACATTTGCTTTTCAACAGTTTGGCGAAGAGAAACAGAACACCCATTTGGTCATCCGCGACAAACACCTTTTTTTGAGCCGGTTTTGAAGGAATTTTACAAATTTGTCGAAGTAAAAATCAAATGTTTAAAAAACTTAAAAAAAACAGTTCAAAACAAACAAGAACAATACACCCGAGTGTAATAAAAAATGAAAAAGACACTTTTTTACAAGCTTGACCACTTTTCCCAATCCAAAGAATCATTGGCAGATATAGAAGCACCCCTATCAGTAGACACTTCATTTGCCAAGGTCCCCCTTTTTGCCACTAAAACTCCTAGTGCCAAAGATGTCTGCGGTCAAAAATAATCTCAAATGAACCTATTTGGACTTCTCAGATCCATTTTGGTCCACTAAAACCCTCCCAGTTTGAATTTGCTCGCCTTTGTTTTAGGTCACCTATACAACAAACTATTGGTCTCTTTCAGAAAGATCACTGGCACTTTTCATTGGTGGAGTCTTTCAATGCCAAGTTCAAGTTTGCAAGCTTGAAGACACTTTTGATTTCCAGGAGAGATGTAATGATGCATGCTACGATATAATATTATGGAAAGATAAAAAAAGCAATAAGTAGAAGAATGTGGAGTAATAGCTGATTGATCGGTTTTATTCTAATTTGATTTTATTATCTTCATTAGATAATCTGTTTTTGGAAGTGATTTGCTAGGATTTCTCTTTCCTTGTTTTAGGCATTTCCATGCATGTACTCCATTTTATAAAAGGGAACTTTGTTATGCTAATAACATATCCAAGAAAAGTTAAGAAGAAATCAAGGAGAAGGGAAAATCCCTAAATACCCACTGACCCTTTCGTTTATCTTTTTTATTTTATTTTATTCCTATGATGCAAAGAATCCCAGTACATAACAGTACGCCATGCAATTGAATTAAAAGAGACAACATGGTGGCTGAGGCGCTGAGCATATTATTTGAGATATTTGAATGGATGCACTTCTTGATCTAATACCTCTGGATATGTTGCTACCTTTTAATTTGTTACTCCGTACTATTTACCTACTTTTTTTTGTTACAGTTGATGAGGCACTATGTCATCCATACTTGTCGCCGCTTCATGATATTAATGAGGAACCCGTTTGCGCAATGCCTTTCAGTTTCGACTTTGAGCAGCCATCCTTTACGGAAGAAAATATTAAGGAGCTCATCTGGATGGAATCTGTAAAATTCAACCCAGATCCAACTTTCTCGTGATAAGTATGATTTGTAGATATAGATCATTATGTCATGTTAGTGCTTCTATTGTTCTCTTGCTATTTGCTTTCCTTTTGTTGTCTGAACTTAATAAAACCCCAGTTGCAAATATTTCATTTCATTATGGTTTTTGATACATATATATATATAGATAGATTTTCTGAGCCTCAGAGGGGTCTCATTTTCAGTAATTTGTTCCGTAAGAACATTTCTGGAGCTCTATCTTTTCAATTTCAAGAATTTCTGAAGGAAAATCACACATTCCATTGGAATTTGGCGGCGTTTGATCGGACAGTGATTCACAGGGTTTTGGAACAACCCCACTAGTAATCCCCTGGATATCAGTACAAGTCCACTGATTCTTCTTGGCCTTCTGTGCCAATCCAATAGTCACATTGGACATACATATTCCGGTGAAGGGGTGACCAGATATGCCCTCCAGCCTGGCAGTCATCTTTACGTCATCCGCCACCACATCCATGTAGTTGATCCCCGTGATGTTCGGGATTGCATTCGGGTTGTATTTTTTATCCGGATGGGACCCGTAGTTCCCGGTCATCCAAAACACCATTTTCATAGTTTGGAGTGTCATCCCTTTGACATATATGTTCTTGACGTAGCCACCACGGCCGACGCCTGTCTTAATCCTCACGCCCGACTCTGTGTTGTAGGCTGTGATGTCTGAGGCCCTCACGTCTTGAATCCCGCCTGACATTTCGCTCCCCAGTGCGATCGCTGCACTGTAAGGTGAGATGCATGTTAGACGCTTGATGATCAACTGCCTCGTCGGCATACCGTACTGTATACCATATTCATCCCAACCACTTTTAACTGCCACACAGTCGTCCCCGGATACTATGTAGTTGTCCTCAATTCTCACATTTGAGCATGAATCTGAAACCAACCCAAGTGAATACAACGTTATACGTAGTATGTATCAAGAAATGTTCATTTGGACATGTGTGAATAGGTCTAATCTGGTTTAGTCTTTTCAAGTTCCGTTTGGTTGATATTATGTGCATTTTTTCTCTCTTGGTGTTTGTTTATCCAGTTTGATTAAATTTGATTTAGTCCGGTATGAAGTCTGGTTTAGGTCGTGGAAATGTAAGTCCAATTGAACATGTTCTTAATAATAATATGACAAGTATACTGTTTAATTTGTCATAATTCATAAATACATAAATGATTAACAGAATAGGAAGAAATGAACCTGGGTTAATTCCATCAGTATTTGGAGATGTTACTGGTGCCAGGATAGTGAGGCCTTGAATAATTACATTCCTGAGAGGTGAAAATACAAGATTTTACTGGTAAATGTGTTTTCACCCAATATTTTTGAATGAATTTATAAACAGTTGGAGTACAATTACAAAAATAAACAAACTAGGGGAGTTGTTGAAATTACCTGCTGTAAACAGGATGGACATTCCATGAAGGGGAATTAATCAGGGTCAAATTGGAGATCTGAACTTCATTAGAGTGCATGATTTCAATGAGATAGGGCCTTGTATACTTTAGCTTTTTCTTGTGAAACTGCTGCCACCAAAGTTCCCCTTGTCCATCTATTGTCCCATTATTCCCTGATAAATGATAATTGTTTCCCCATTTTTATTTTACATGAAGGGTGTTACCATATAAGAGAAAAAAAAATAGCTGTAAAAAGTTATAGTAATTTGTTTACCTGTAATAACAACATCAGTGAGGTTTGAGCCAAAAATGAGACTGCCATACCTTCCACCATTTGCATCCCTTCCACGACCATATGATGGTAAGGGGTCCACCAATGGCCATGTGCTTATGTCCTGAATCAAATGTGATGAACAAAACCCTTTACCCATTTAAGAAGACATGATATTTATTATTTACCCCCCAGTTGTAATTCACTCTTTGTTTACTCAACTCCCAAAAGATCTCCCAAGAGAGGTGATGATTGTCCAAATATTTATCAAAAGCAATTCTGATAACCTATACATTTTATGTGTTTTAATTATTGGGCTTTTCCTCAAAGATATTACAAAAATAACTCACTCAAAAAAATGTAACAATCTTTTAAATATTTCTAAATGTGTCATGGTCAGTGACACCACCCGCCTGCAACTGGCGGCGAAATATTTCTAGCTATTTTTCCGGGAAATCAGGCGTTTGTAGCGGGCAGTGATAGTTGAAAGGTTGGTGTGGAGAGAGTTATGGTCTGAGATAATGCACTTCTATTTGGATTACTTGTTTTAGTCATTCTTTCTAAATTCTTCATACACATTTCTTTTCACCATACTAAAAAATCACATTTTCAGAAGGAAAACAATACATGCCTTACAATATATTCTCACTTTCTTAATAAATCCCAGCTTTTAATTTGCAAACTTTTAACCTGTCAAAGTGGGCAATAATTTGCATCTGGCTAAAGGTGAAATTTGTGCAATATTCATCTAAGCCAATGTAGGACACTTCTTCAACATATTCAAGTTCACTACAGTAAGTACCTGAGAAGCAAGAAGAACAGCATCCCTGTCCAGAAAAAGAGTGAAATGGCTAGTGAGATTGAAGGAGCCGGTCAACCATTGACCAGCAGGGACAAAGAGCAAAGCTCCACCCTGTGATCCATATTGGCTCAACTCATTCACTGCGGCCTGGAACGCCTTCGTGTTCAGTGTTTTGCCATCTCCGACCCCTCCGAACTCCGTAATTGAGGCGCTCTTACCCCTGCAGTTTATGGCTAAATATGAACCTCCTTTTCTGTCTCCTTCTCCTTCTTCAAGAGCTATCCTTCCCTGCTTAGGCCTTATCCCCTCAACCACTCCTGTGCTCAAAAACACTCCCAATAACAAAACTATCACCACAGTCTTCAACATCTGCAACATATTTTAAGACCATTGTTTGAAGTATTTATCCCACATCAGTTAAACATAAAGGAATAAACCAACATTTATGACCTGAGCTGCTCCTTATCCTTTTATAGTCATCTAATACAAAATCATAGAACTCAGTATAAATCTAACAAGATATGTGTGTGTTACCTGGAATCTTAATGGCATTACAGTGGAGAAGAAGGAGGAGCCCGGATGTAAGTGGGCAGTTAATTTTGTTTAGTGGTGTAACAGAAAGAAAGTGGGAAGAGCATTTTATAGTCGAAAGTTGGTTAAGTGGTTGGGATTTGTTTTGAGTTGAGTTTTAATTCTATGAGGTGGAATATCTTTTAATGAAAGGAAAAAACGAACTTTCTCTCTCTCTCTATTTTCTAGCTTTTTCTTTTAATTAGGATTAATATTGTTATCCTTAGTATGATTAAATCCTTACTCTAAGAAAAGATGATTGATTAGTCATACGAGGTAATGTGCAAGGCATCATCAAAGATAAGAATGGTACTACATTGTAAGAAGAAAAGAACAAAAACTGTGCAAGGTAAAAAAAAAAGTGCACAGAAGCTACCGGACCAGTTACGGTCTGATTTGTTCGGAAAAGGATCTTTTGATTAGTATGAAATGACACAGGACGAACCCAGGAAATCCATCTTGAGGGTTCAAAATATTTTTTGGAGGCAAAAAATATTTTTTGAGGAAGCAAAAATAATTTTTCGTATATATATACCCCCAAAAAATTTGTTGGGTCTCTACTACAGTCCGCCCCTGCTTGTAGGCTTTTAGCAATTGAGTTTAAGTTTTTCCTCTTCCCGTCTTTCATTTATAGTGACAGAGACACTTTTGGTACTCTTATTTAAAAATTTTCATATCTACTTCTTCAAATAGATAATTTTAATCTTTCCATATTTTACCCCCCATAAAGTAAATGACTAAAAATATCATTATGATCCTAGTTGAATGACAAATATGGAAAATTTCAAAGTCAAAAACCAAAAATGTTTCTGTCACAATATTCGAAAAACTAAAAATGATAAACTCAAGATCGAGTACAAAAAACAAAGAATTAGAAGTGATAAAAACTCTTTCAAAAGAGTATGAAGTTGCCTATATATGTCATCTAAGTTAAAAATAAGAAAGAATTTGACTTTGCATCCCATGTTTTGGGCAATATCTGACTTTACACTTCATTTTCAAAATTATTAATATTTGCACCCCATCAACCCAGAAATTGTGGAGATATACAAAGTCAAAAGATTTTATAGTGAAATAGGTGCAGAAATTAATGATTTTGAAAATAGAGTATGAAGTCAAATATCACCAAAAAATGAGGTGTAAAGTCATTTTTTTAAATCATAAATAGAAAATTATAAATGGATTATTAGCTAAATATATTTCTAACTATCATCAAATTCACAAATCTCTCATACTTTCACTTTTATTAAAAAAAGACTCAAACTTCAACTTTTCTCACAATTACACTTTCAATGGATGAATTAGCAAATATTAAGATGAAAATCATATTCATATTACATATTCTTTACTTGTTTATAGTTTCAAGTTTACAAATTTGTATTGTTTATATCTAATTGGTATTGATAAAAATGTGTAATTTTGAAAAAAAAAACAAAGCATAATTGTTGAAAAAGATGAAGTTTGAGTCTTTTTTTTATAAAAATAAAAGAATAGGATAAATTTGTGAATTTGACGGTAGTTTGAGATAAAATAAGCTAATAATCCTAAAATTTCCAAACTATGACCAAAAAGTAGGGGCCATCATCTCCAACCCTATAACCTAGTTTTTTTTTTTTTTTTTTTTTTTTTTTGCGTTTTAAACACGTTTTAAACATGGACCATTTTTTTTGAACAAAAAACGCGTTTAAAACGAAAAATAATGTTGGTCCGTTTAAAAAGGAAAAAAAAACTCTTACTTCCCTTATAAAACGTATTGTTTCCATATTTTACAAAAAAAAAATAGAAACATGAACTGCTCAATTGAATGAGTGCATAAAATGCATAGGAGATCAACAATAGCTTAGCTTAAAAGAAAAAAAGGAAAACATCCTCCTCGTGATCGCGTGTTTTTGTATTGTTACAATGCAATTATTAAATACTAAAATTAATTGCATGACAGCTAAAGCTAGCTTCCTAAAATTAAATACCAAAACTTGAAATACTATTGGATTCATGATGTTTTCCCAATCAAGCATATCAAAATTAAAGTTCATCTAAACCTGACAAATTTTTAGTATAAACTTTTACAGTTTTACACATAAACAATAATAAGCGCAACAGTCGTACAACGTACTTTTCTCATATATGTCATCTATCATCTTGATTAAAATGATGAGTTTAACTTGAGTATTATTTGATGATCATATAAAGATATTGATTTTTTCCATCATTTGCAATGGAGCCAAAGATTCATTATTTTTTTGCTTGAGAATATGATGAAATAAAGCAAAATGGCTCATTAAACTGTCTGCGCTTCTTTGTTATGAAGTAGCAGTAAGTCAATGCAATTTTGGACGTGATTTTCACTATGGGTCATCCGGAAACAGTCTCTATGTGCTTTAGTACAGGGGTAAGACTGCGTACATCTGACCCCCCTTATCCCACCGTAGGTGGGAGCCTTTGCGGCACTGGGGTAAATGAAAATGATGAAATGATTATGATAAAGATATTGATTTTAACTTAGTCTCATATACTGTTATTATGCCTCATTTTTTTTACCTTGTTTTGCAAAATTATGCCTTGAGCTTAATTACTCCCACCATCCCATTTAAAGGTTCTCACTTTCTTTTTTTGGACGTCTCGCTTAAAGATTCTCACTTTCTATTTTAGGAAACAATTAACACTCTTAAATAACGATTTAATTATCAAATACTACAAAGAATACATTTATAAAATCACAGTTATCATCTACAACCCATTATATAATATACTCATCAAAATTATTTCTCAAAATATACTCGAACTAGCATATTTAATTATTGTCTAAATAATAGTGTCATTTTGTCATGGGAACCTTTAAATGGGACGGGGGTAGTACTATTTTTATTGTCATCGACTTATGCACTTACATATTATTCTCTTATGTGATAATGAGATTTGTTGCTTGAATATGTGTAAACTTTTATTTCATTTTATTATATATCTTATTTTGTGGAGTATATACTTTAAATGTTCAAAATAATATCCCGTATTTTTTGTCCGAATTTTTGTAACATATACCGTATTTTACACGTATGCGTATTCACACGTTTTTAAAAGTCAACGTATTTTCCAACGAATTTTTGACTTTTTTTTTCATTCGTGTCACCGAATAAAACGCATACGTATTAAACCTCATTTAATTCTATTTAACTAACTAGGCCCTATAAAGTATTTTTATCCTATCACAAATAAAAAAATTATTTGAAGTTGTTTAAACTACTTGGTTGTATTTTTGAAAAACGAATGAGTTTTATAGTTTCATTCCTATTGATGTAAATGTGTGAGTACTACCTGAAAAATCTATGGTTTCGAATACCTAAGTTGTCTAATGAGTAACCGAGGTAGTTGCAATGTATAGTCAATTACTCAATTAGTCACGTTTTATGAACATTTTAAATGGACAGCAGATCGGTGGCTGAAAGGTTTATGACTGCTGTTGTTATTCACTCTCGTGAACCTTTTCTCTCTTGACACAATTTGACGTTTCTGACAACGCCACTGCAATCACGGGCCATCATTTAATTATGCTCTTTTTTTGTTCTTAAGAAATGGAGAAAGAAATAAATAGCGGGACCGGAGGAAAACTGCTGAGTAATAAACTCTCTTATGTGGAATGCAAGAAAAATTCTATAGGAACGAGGATAATATTTTTGTGGCCTATCAATTGTATTGTGGGAGAAAGAGGACGGCAAAGAAAATTCACAACTTTTAACACTTGTATCTTTTCCATTCATTTCAATAAAATATAATTATTAAATGATAAATAGTATAGGCACTGAATTTAGAGTAGGAAAAATTGACAAAAATAATCCTACTTTTCACTGGTCTTCTCATAACAATCTCACCTTTAAATAATACCAAAATAATCCCACTTTTGCACCTCATCTTCTTTCATTGGACCCTGACCATGTTTTTTACTCTTTCTTTGAAAATTATACAAATAATCTCACCTTTCACTTTTTAATTATATCCTTACAAATGTGAGATTATTTATATAAGATTTTTAAAAAAGGTAAAAAAACTTGGTCAGGGTCCAATGAAAGAAGATGAGGTGCAAAGGTGAGATTATTTTGGGATTATTTAAAGGTGGAATTATTATGAGAAGACCAGTGAAAGGTGAGATTATTCTTGTCAATTTTTCCTTTAGAGTATTAATTCACTTGTCCCAATATCATTTCTTTATTGACTTTGTGTCTAAATGAAGCAAAAGAATGACGAAAGTAATACGGAGTACGTTTTTAGTAGTTTCTACTTTCATATATAGTCAAAGCTGAACATAATCACTTTTGGTTTACCTATTTGTTTGGACGGTTTGAATAAAATTTCAAATGTTTTCATTTTGATTCATATCATCTGATGCCATTTGAATTGTTTAAGTCGGTTGATATACATTTATATTTTATCCTTGTCCAAATCTGATTTCATCTGTTTAAATCGAGTTCATCTATTTATAAAAGTGAAACAAGTCAAAACACCACATATGTAAATCCAAGTCAAAACACCAAATTTCGTCTTATATTTGCCATAGTTGCGACATCATTATGCATTTCATAACGACTAAGTTAATATTAATCATATTATTCTCATAATCTCATCCATCCATTGTACAGGCCTATAAGCCTATTTGTAGCTAACTTATTGCATGCGCATTATATACCAAATTACCAATGAACACGAGATTCACGTGTAGATAATTAAGAATTATTCTGTGTGAATATATATTTCTATCAATAGTACATGCAAAAAAAAAAAATAAACAATGAAATGAAGAAAGCCACGCCGTAGACTCCGTAGAGTCTGAAGGGATGCAAACAATTTGGAAGAATCATGATTTTGTTTGGTGTGAAGCTATAGAAACTAAATAGTGATCCAGTGATTCCTCATTAGTCATTGGGCCTTAGAAGTTAGAACAGTGTCATTAGTGGGGATGGGACCTCCTGGCCGGCCTCATTCACACAAGAACATTACACGCTATTCTTTTCTTATCTTATTATTATTACTCCACTGAAGAAATCTATGTTTATGGCACCATTGGATGATTACAATTTACAGTACATACCCAAGATAGGTTTAGTGATGCTTTACAGATCTATGGATGCCACATCCATGGTGCTCTTGGGTGGGGTGGGGGGGAATGTTGATCCTAACTCCAATGCCGTCATCACTTAGCTTCAAGTTCCACACTCAACCTTGTCAAAGTATAAAATAAAACAAAAGAACTATTATGCATTTCGCTATGCATGTAAAGTTGCAGATGGTCAGCACGTCTGGTGCTAATCACTCAATTTCATCTCATGAGGTTCCTAGGCCACGCCCTGTGTTTGATTTGTAACTTTGTACCAAAACATAATGTCATTCACACACATGACATGAAAAACAGACCTCCAGTATGAAGTAAATTTTCTCTACAAGTCGAGTGAAGGATTAGCAAGAGTAGCTCCGTGTTGCTTGATGATACGGGCGGCTTGCAGAAGAACTTCCTGCTCTGATGCAAACATTTTCTCTTTGCTCTGAATGAATTCAAACCACATGGAAAGTATTCGTTAAGCCTACCTGGCATGCGACATATACGACATGGGCAATTTCTTTACTTTAAGGATAGATGAAAATATAAGGATCACATACCATTTGTTTTAGATTGCAGCCTAGAGTCAGTTCTGCATATGTCCTTTCGAGTTTCGACAAGAAACAATAGGGTGCCTCCTTTTCCAAGAAGACATTCGGATATGACTTCAGCATGTTTTTGATGTCTTCCGATATTTGCGGGATCTTCTCAAAGTCATCCATTTGCATAGGAACTGTCCTCACCAAGGCCCGCCATTGAGCCCGTGATTTATTCACAATTACCTACTCACACCCCACAAACCCTAAGAAATAGCCCATAAACTTCCCTTCATGTCATCACTTTGATCATCGTGATCAGTATTAAGAATATAATATATTTTGTTATCTTTTTTCCTTGTCAATTGTTATTTCCTTCCATAATTACATTGTGATTCTGTTTCCATGTCTGTTTCCATAATTCCATATCTTTTTTCCTTGTAAGAATTTTTATCCTATAGAAACTCGTATGTGTTATCTTTATTATTTACATTATAAATATAGTTGTACATTTAGTAATACAACTTTTACCATCATTATCACCTCAATACGTTGTTTGAGTGCATGAGCAGTTTTGGACTTTTGGAGGGCTTAGTCTATATCATGATAAATAGAGTGTTTCGAAAAAGGAATAAAAAGTGATTGAAATGTTATACGTTCATATACTATGTTATAAAACTTCAAAAATATATATTAAGATATAGACTGTGCACTTCCAAAACCTCCTTTTCCAAAAACATTCATCCAAACAGACACCAAGTGTATGACTATGATGACAAGGAAAATATACATACCTGGCTAGTAAACAAGGAATTTGGAACAATAACTGGGAACTTCTCGGCGGTCAACAAGGACGTTGCTGTCAGCCCCATCTCTACAACTTGACCTTCCACAGATCCAGCCTGCTCATGCAAATGAAATTATTACAATGATATATTGTGCGAGAATTGATGCGAAAAGATACGGGAAACACTTCACTCAATTAGTAGCTGCTTTCATTTTGATAGGTATTATATTTGCACACACAGACACTACAGAACTCCTATACCTTAGAAAACTGCTAATAACACCTCACTCTCTAAGCATTCAAAGAAGCCAATTCAACTAATAAGCAAAATCCAGAATCGGTAAAAATGCATAGCTCATGTCTTTGGCGTTCTCCCAAACATTCCCAATTTCTGATACGAATTTATATACCAAAGAAGCTTTTTGCGGTATTGGCTCATACAACCATGCTAGCTTTAGGTTGCATCAAAATTATCAATACCCTGACTTCACTTCCTCAGTTTCTCATAACATTTAAACAAATTTGCATTTAAAGGTGAGTGGTATATAAACAAACCTATTGGTCATTTGGTCATATGACTCATATTCAATCATGCATGCTTGGTTAACTTTAGTGTGAGATCACAAGAAGTGAAGAATAAACTTGATAAATCATTTCAAATTTTCTTATGAAAAAAATGAACCAGACAAGGAAACAAAATTAATTTGCTATAACAAATTATAATCTATATGATGAAAAATGAAATGCAATGGGATCAGAAAAAAGCTCATAATTCAGAATTTAAAGGGGGCAAATTCAGAGCATACTTTTATTGTATCTCCAATAGAAAAAGGTCGTGAAAACTGTAATGATAGTCCACTTAGAACATTTCCAATGACATCGCGAGCAGCAAAAGCAGTAGCCACTCCTACATACCAATTGACAGATATATACATTAAAAAAGTTAAAAGTTGGAATATTTATGAACAAATTAATGTAGCACGTGATTTCAAGAAGTTATAAGAAATGAAAAGATTTTTAAAGAGGATTCGTTTTCTGAAGCTCACCTCCTACACCACCCACAGTCAGAATAGATTGCACTGGTACCCCACATGCCTCAGCTAAACCCATCAATCCAATGGCAAATAAACCAACAGAAGACACTTTCTCTAGTGTCAACAACCTGTCTCTATCACCTGCTTCAAAGCTCTTCAAAGCTAAGGATCTACTGATCACATTTGTTTTCCATCTCTGTAGAAACCAAACTGAAGAAAGAATTGTGGCACTTTTCCAAGCGGGTAGAATGTATTGTGATGCAACGCTGGTTGGTGCCACCATAGCTGCACTGCACAAACAAAACTTCAAACTAATTAATCACACAATTGACACTTAGAATAGTGATTTGAACTGAAGTGACATATATCATACAACTAACATTTGGGTAAATGCCATAAAAGTGATCAGATAGCGAATGGGATCCTCCAAAGCACTCCATATGCTTTTTTCATAAGGTACAGGTTTCAATAGTGAGGTCTCAGAGAACAACATAGCAGGTCCCTCTGTTGAGATCTTATGAAACCTCCTCAGAAACCTCGGCATTACCAACCAAGCCAGTAAAGTACACACTAAAGTGCCACTAATAGGAGCAATAACATCTCTCAGGTAAGGATTTGCATCAACAATTTGCTGAATGTAAGGGGTTAATTCACTAGAAGCCTCCCTCGCCTTTTCTCCTGTATAACTCATGACACTCCCTAGACTTTGGAAAGCTTCCTTTGCCTTCAGAATCCACTCACTACCGTCAGATCCACCTGAACCCATACTGGCTCCAGAAATGGCAGAATCTGAGCCAACAGGAGGAGTCCCTTGACTGCCCACAGATGATGAATACAACCGAACACTCCAGATAGGGTTAATTCCAACTAAGGATACACTTCTCAAAGGGTAACTGCTCAGTGATGGTCTGCTCAAATATGAGCCCCAATTGCATTGCCTATGAGAAGCCAAATGATCCTGAGTAGAATGTGACCGGGTAACATGGTAATTACGACTTAGACAAGCAATTGAGGATCTGACATTAAAAGTTGGGTTGAGTGATCTTGTCAATCTAGAAAACTTAATTGCAGCCATTGCAATTGCGTGTGAAGCTCACATATAATATGCCAAATATTGTCTTTAGCCTACAAGCTCAATCAACTCGACACAAACAAGCTAAGGAAAGAATAATTCTCGACTTGCTATTTGGAATTCCACACAATCTGCAAAATGGTTGCAAATAGATAGTAATGAAGATATAGAGAATCCAATTAACCTAAGTCTAAAATAAGGTGCTAATTGTTGACTGATAAGAGATAATGATTCCTCGCAACTCAAAAGACTGAAGAAATTCCCAGTAAATTTAGCACAACAAACGAGATTACGAATACATTACAGTTCAGAATAGAAAGCTTCGAGCCTCGAGAACAGTAGGTGAGTGGAGGAAGATCAGCTAAAATCCATTGGGGTTTTAGACTAATAGAGAAAGCTCAAGGAAATGAGAACATACGGATTGGATGCCCTGAAAAGAAAGAAAGCCGCGGTTGAGATTTAGTCAAATTTTTTCTTCACCCAAATCTGCACGAGTGCACGACTGCACCTGTTTTCTGTTTTTTACTTATTCATCTATTTATATATAAGAAATAGCTCATCAAACGAAATTCCATCCAAACTCCAAAGAACCAGCATGGAAAATAAAAACTATAAATCCCTACCTCTATAGCTCATTAACTAGTTTTTATTAGTTCTAGTTGTGGAAATTACACACTTTTGGTGTAATACTTTATTTTCTTTTTTATTTGTAATTTAGTTAGATTAAGATTTTTCTGAGCTAAACAGGTCAAAGATCATCCAAGGGATCAAGATTGGACCTTAAAAGATCAAGGAAAGTGCAAGGAGGCAAGAAAGATTTCGATTTTGAAAAAATACTCATGTACCCGGTCGGGTATTGCCTATACCCGATCGGGTAATTGCTTGATTCGCCTGTCCAAATCAAATACGAAGACAAATGATCGTGGGAGCAAATTTTCATAAAGATTTGTCACATACCTGATCGGGTATATACCCTTACCCGATCGGGTATGCCCAGAAAAGTGATTTTATGGGCAATTTTCTAAGATACCCGGTCGGGTATCCTATATACCCGGTCGGGTATCAGACCCTGCAGCTCCCAAAAGCCTATAAATACACCCCTTTCCTTCCCAATAAAATCATCAATTCACATATACTCTTTAGCTCAGTTTAGATTAGTGCTTTCTTTATATTTTCTATCATGTTTAGTCTCCAAATGAGGAGCTAAACTCTTCCATCTTGGTTTTGCTACTTTGAAGCTTAATGAATTGTAAGTTGTGAGTTATTTTCTTTAATCTTCTTCCTTGAATATTAATTTTTCCCTTAATACTATCTCTATATTAATGTTGGGGAGTGTTACTAAGATGACAATTACTTAACATCTCGACATTAGTTAGAGTAGTATTTATTTTCTTCCTCTATGTTAATGTTGGGGAGTGTTACTAAAATGACAATTAGTTAACATCTTGACATTAGTTATAGTAGGATTTATATCTTCTTTAATATTCTTCCTTGAATATTAATTAATTCCTATTCATATTTCATATTAATATTTTGAGCATTACTTAAAGGATCAACTAGTTTTGTTTCATATATTAATTAATACTAGAATCGATCGACGAATACGCTTGTTAATCGTTCGGTCGTTTCACGGTAGTAAACTTGGATTATTAATGCATGCGTCTCATGGTTAATAATCTAAGGGGGATTAATTATATTGATTAAACCAATAAACCGCTTGTGTTGAGGTTATCAATCTCAATCGTTTTCATCTTAAGTTTATTGCTACTATCGGGTTAATATACGGCGCATGTTCTATATTAACTCGGTAGTAAGTTTTATTAATGAACGTGTCTCGTTATTAATAACTACCCTCGATGAATTGGATATACTCCTCGATTGAGTATTCGAGAGGAAGATAGTTAAAGATATAACCGGGATCGACGAACATTTCATTAAGTGGATAAAAGCAAAGCCAAGTCTTCATCTCTGTTAAGTAAACCACATAAGTCGTTCATCTTCGTGTTAAATTAATTAAATCAAATCAAACTTTAAATCCCCCCTTTGTTACTAGTTCTATATAAAGAAAAGTATTCCTTTTCCTGCGGATACGAACCTTACTTCAATATACTACATATAATTGTTGTATTGATTAATTACTTTGAGTGCACACCACGACAAAGTGCACGTCAAAAACCAAGACAAATTAAAATATATATACTACAGGTGCGCAAACCCTAGCTTCTTGTTCATTTCTTGGCGGTGGTTCGGGAGGGGCGGACCATCGACACTTCATCTTCTTCCAGTTTGTCCCATCCAATTTTCTTATTGTTGGATCCTAGTTGTGCTTGCACCTTAAGGCATCTCTCACGCTGAACTTTCAATTCGTCTTCATCGGGGGGGGGGGGGGGGGGGGGGGGGGGGAAGCATTGGGTTGTCACCCCTGGCACATGCACACTATTCTCCAGGATCTTCACATCACCATTGTCGTTGCCCTAGATCCATCCCTCTTCGAGTCCCTTGCTGAAGAGGATTGAGACCCAGTCGACTCCAACAAATTCAGATGCGGCACCAAGCCCTAGCATCGAAGGCTCTACCACTGCTTCATACTCTTGAAGCAGATGAACCATCTTGTTAACGTTGCCTTCTCTGGCCCCGTCTACTCTTACTCGGCGGCTGAGGAATCACGAAGGAACCCGCTAACAATCTAACCCTAAGCACAAAGAGTCACTAGTAAAAAATTGGCTTACAGTGACACTTTTATAGTGACACTTTCTGATTTAATACCAATAATAACATAAAAGTGTCACTATTTTCTAACACAAATGTGTCAACATCACTTAGTGACACTCAAACATTTTTTAAGCTGTATAATTTAACGCGCATAAGTATTTGGGCCGCGGGCCTGCACAGTTTAATTTACAGAGTAATAAGACTTCAGTACTTAGTTTCTCTCTCCCTTCCAACTTAGTTTACATCTGCTCACGATTCCCCTTCTTTCTACGAGCCCTAGCTCCTCAATCGATGAAGAGACCCGTCACAATGAAGACGCCATTGCCGCTGCTCCTGATGACTTCAACGAAGACGATGCCGCAGATGCTCGTGACTACTTCGACGAAGACGACGCTGGTGCTGCTCCCGATGACTTCGACGGTGACCGTTGCTTCTTCAGACGACTGTGACTGCCGCTGCTCCAGGCTAATAGAAGAAGACCCAGGCTCTCCATTAACTTTTGGCGCACCGCTCTGCATCAACGGGAGAAGAGGACGCACAAATATTTGCTCTCTGGCCATAACCAACAATCACCTCTCTTCCACCTGAGGTAAATTCTCAATTTTTTCGATTTACATTATATTGTTTCTTTTTTTCACTTAGGCTAAATATACTTTTTTTTCCTTGAAATTTCAGATAAAACATTATAAGTTCTAGTTAATTAGTTTTTGGTATACAAATTTCATTTAGGCTGCAGAGCACCCTCAAAAAAAATATATGACTGTAATGTCATGAAACTTCAAGGAGGGAGGATGGGTGCAGTAAACGGAATGCACGTACCCTAATGGAAAGGTGGATGAGACTTGGTGCAGTCCCGTGAAATTTGGACTGGAGTCACCTGTGGTGTTTTCACCTTCATTGTGATCAATTTTTGTAAGTTGTAACTGAATTTATTGTGTCATAAAGATCTCTGTTTGTAAATCAATTATTGATAATTGAACAATGAACAAAAGGTAAAGCTATTTGTAGGTCTCTGCTTGTATATTGCCATTATTGATAAATCAGGCATAAACCCAACAAGGCTTAAGGTTTGTGATGACAATTTTTTGTTCTTTTGTTTCTCTCTCATACTTTTGAATCAAGAGTTCTAAAAGTTGAACCATGGCAGGTCTCAAAAGATTATATTCACAACCTTAACTCATGGCAGGTTCCTTTACTTTGAATATGGCATGTTGTAAGACATGGAGTGTGCTCTTTTTGCTGCAAGTCATCCCATCCTCAAATTTGTACCTTCTTTTAACTTTTTATAGAAGTTGGCTCTACAATATCCTTTGAGTTCCTCTCATAAAACTATAAAAGTTGTTATCAAGTAGGATTTATCTTGTTTTATCATATTTTAGTTTCACTATATATCATCTGTCGACATTAATTGAGTTGGGTTAACAACACTATGTATTCTAATATGGATTTAAATGATTAAATCCTTAAACGCATATGTTTGTTGCTTTTAGTACAGTCATATGCAGTTACTGAAAGTATCTGTTATGGGACACAAATCAAACATGATATAGCAAACTAATGTGCAGTAGTTTCTATTCACACTTTTGCTTATTATGATTTCATTGGTTACCTAAGGATAGTAACTAATTGATTCACCAGTACGTTTTCTATAGATGGAAGTACTATTGCCCCTAGGCACATGGGCATGATTTTAGTCTTAAGTTCCGTAGTGGCATTAGCTTCTTTACAATTTTATAAAACCTTAATAGGACTTGAGAGTAATATGTTGATGTGCATGATATGCATTATAAATGACAGTGGGTGCAGTTGGTTAATTGTGCTCTTTTACCATTGTCTGCTTTTATTAGTTAAAAACAAGGAAATATGCATCCTTAAGGCCACACAGAGATTTCTGTTTAGTTTATAACTTTATTATTGATTTGATAATACCACCTACAGCTTGGTTTGATCAGTGGTATGTGTTTGGAAAAATGTCCATAGCAGATGCTTTATACACTTTAATTGTTTGGGATATTATCCGATTATCTGGGTCATTTTCACTATGTTCAAACTAGCTATCTACTTTCATTAGCTTAATCAATGGAATGTGCATATTTAAGCCTTCTTATTTCTTTGCACCTTGGCTTGTTTTCTTAGTAGCAATTTCACATGCTAGAAACTCTCCACCTCTAAAAATATGTCAAATGATATGATATGACTTATGAATAGCATTACCCAAATATCCAAATACAAGAAATGTAATATCTTACTCTGAAGAAAACTCCTTCCCTTTCTTGCAAACATTTCCAAAGCTATGAAATTATAGGTTCAAAACCACATTTCATATGCTCAGAAAGTAAACCGACAACAACTACTTTACTGTCATTTTTTTATGAGAAGAATAAATAGCTTGCTATTTTAACCTCTAATTTTTATGAGTCAATGAAAGAAAAAAGAGAAATGGACAAACCTGCCAAGCCTAGTTACCACTGATTTTTTACCATTACCAAGAATGAGATATTCATGGACACTCCTATTGTGTCACAGGTTGCAACTCCCACTGTCCATGGGCTAAAGGAGATCACACTGTAAGGTCTTGGACCGTGGTTCCCATCAGCTTGGACAACAAAAACCCCAGCTTTGTGTGCCGCTAACATGAAGCTAAGCTGGTCTCAAACAACACCAAGAACGTGAGTGCTTCTTTTGGTGAGTCATCTGGCTTAAAATAGGCAAATTGTTTCTGCCAATGTCACCCACGTAGCCCCTGTCCATGTTTCAGACCCTCCTACAGTTTCTGCCCCAACTTTTAAAGCACATTTTTCTGAATTTGGTATTCTTAAACCTAAAACTAAAGATGTTGCATCTTTGTTGGATGG